AACTTAACTCACCGAACACTACAAAGAGCACATCCCTGACACTCTTAACTTCGTTCTTGATAAATCTTCTCTCAGGAAACACACCCCGCTGAGGCAGTATCGGGCAGTCTTCGAACAGCCTTTGTACATCAACATCTCGCAACCATCGCTATCTCATACCGCAAATCGACCGCTGCCATGTTCTTCCTCAAGATCACACCTCTTCTCCTCGCCCTGGCGGTAAAGACCTGCTACGTACCTACTGTTTCACCTTCCACCCTCTCCCTCAAAACCTAAAACCTTACCCTAAAAAAATTGAATCTTGCAAGTATTCTAACTTGAACCTCTTTCTACGGGCAATCATCAACACCACAGTCACCCAATGAGACGCCATCCAACCCGAAATCCACTGCGGCATCTACCCGACAGCCAACTACAACGACGTGCAGAACCTGATGGGGAAGCTGATGGACCCGGAAACCTCAGACGGTGGGGCTCAAATCGTTGAGGTGGGCATCGGTCTCTGCTATCGCGTCGGGTGCAGGCCCCAACAAGGAAGGCGTCAGTTTCGGGCCAGTAGAGCAGTTCGGCGAAAACGTCTACTACCAAGCCATCGACTTCATACCACACCAAACGGTTATCTACTCCGGGGAGGTGTTCATTTCGACCAATAGACGCACCGTCGCGGTATGCTCGGACCCCAATTGCCAGCAGCAGCTGATCAATTCCGGCGTTGGTTTCTTCAATGTCCCCCTCATATGTGGACTTTCTGCCCAGGTTCTGTCCCCTTAGCGAGGTTCAGAGGCGTCTTGCTGGCGGTTATTTTTCCAATCATGGCTGGCTACGGGCTTTGAGCTTCGGGACCTTTCGAGACAGGTTCGCAAGTCCCTCCTGGCCAATAATAATAGCTTGAGGTACTTGGTAGCGGATTCTGATTTGTGCCACGTCAAAGCAACAACCCAAAGCCCCCAAAACTTGACATTTGACCTAGAATGGTTGATATCAGCAAGATATCGCAACACCATCTCTTCAGCATTCCTCCAATATTCACTCAACATCAACAACGTTGGATTTCCTAACAATGATAAAACACCCAAGGAGCTACAGACGCAAGCTTCCACGTGACCGGCGGGGATCGGGGGATGGCGTTCTGGTTTGCTTTTATCTGGAACTGGCGAATCAGCTCGGCGTCTCGGTCCTCCGTTTGAGACATGTATTTGACAGAAGCAGCGGCAGGCACCGCGAAGCAGTGCCCATCTTACCGCACGTCTGCACATTTGATGCGCAAGCGTCGCGCCACCGCTGGAGCTTCGAGTTAGTCCGTTCCGACCACCAAGCAAGTGGTTTACCCCGCAAAGAATTTGACAAAGGATTCCCCCGACCCTGCATCGTGTGTTCGTTCTCGCCTTCTCTCGCCTTCTCGCTGTTCTATTCGTTCGTCCAGACACCCATACAACACACACACACACACACACACACACACACACACACACACACACACACACACGTTCGTCAACACTCATACACATATATACACTGCCAGCACAACGAAGCATACACAACCATCATGACTGTCGCCAATCCTCGCGGTACTCTTGGGGTCCTCCCCTTGGAGATTCGGCAGATGATTTACAGCCTCCTTCTGGTCCTCAACCAGCCCTTTTCTTCCAATGCTCGCCCCCCGAGCCGGCCTGCCAAACAGCTTCCCACCCCCAATCCCGGGCGTGTACATCTTCTGCCCGGACTGTACACCAGGCTGCCCAGGCTGCTCGTACCCGCTCCGCATCCGCGGCCTGAGCACGAAGATTCTCTGCATCAGCAAAGACATCTACGAAGAAGTCGTCGACGTTCTCTACTCCAGCAACATCTTCCACTTCCCCAACGAAGCCGCCAACGCCCTGGAAGAAGTCTTCCGCCTCGTGCAAGCCTGCCTGAACTGGATCGGCCCCAACAGGCACTTCATCCGGTAGCTGGGCATCTCGCTCCCAAGTGCGGAAACATGAGGACGCGTGGCCTGCTCGAAGACACAATCAACCCTGTCGTCATCAGCGGCGCCGTCGTGGCGACATGTGTCCTAATCTGAAGGTCATCTAAATTGAAGTTGACGCCTCACCGAGAGAACATTCACCTTACCTCAGGAACTTCAGAGTCATACGAAGTCGCCGCAGTGGTGACGCTGCACCTCTTTGACAGGCGCCTGCGGGCCACGTTCCAGCACTGCCAGGACTCCCAAGAGATTGCCTGTCTCGTGCAGATCGACGTGCAGGACCATCTGGATGACGACCCGCCCGTTTTGGATCATCTCATGGAATCGGACCCGAGCTACATCCTGCAAACCCTCGGCTGGACCCTCCATGTCAACCAGCGGAGATTGGTCTGGGAGACGGTCCTGCATGTTACTCTGACGCGGCGAACTCCCCGTGTGGTTCCAATCCCACTCTTTCAAGCCCCTCCTAAAAGTCCATAGGGAGGTGTGGTCCTGTACGGTCCGCGTCTGAGCGACTTGCAGCAACTCGATCCGGCCGTGCTGCGCGCTCTGGTCACGGAAAAGACCTACACGGTGGCCACGCATCTTTTGCGGCATCGCGACCCGGCCATCCTCGTTTCTGAGGGGCCATGATCCGAGCGAAGAGGTTGAGTGGCGTGGGCCGGATGCGTACCATGACGAAGATGAGGCGAGAGAACGCATGCCATCCGCGAGCGACGACGAGAGGCAGGCACGCGACAGGAAGGTCGCTGTCGGTGCGAATCAGGCCTGCATGATCATACTCCTGGCGACGAGGGATACTATGGCGAGGGGCTGCGTCTCTTTGCCGTGAGTGGCGCGTTTGGATATTTTGCTGCGGTGGGCCATTGAGTTATTACTCTCCTTCGTTGTTGGCTGTTTGGAACTTGGCCTTTTGATGTCTCTTCCTTGCTTGTCTTTACGTTCGTTCGGATTCTCTTCTTTCCGGGGTTCTCACGATTGGCTTTGGTATACCTTTACTTTGGTTCTCCCATCCTCCCACGTTCGTTGTTTCGACGTCCTTTTTGCGCAAGTGTTCTCGCGATTTGCCTTGGATGTTTGGGATCTGTTTGTTTTCGTTCGCATTGCTGCGTTGTTCCTACCTACGCTCCTCCGCGCTGAGATGGCTTGTTTTGCTCTTTCAATCGAAATTCAATTCTCTTCACGACTCTCTTTTGGTTTTCTCTTCTGTTGCGGATCCTATTGTGGCCTCGATCTGAATGGAACCCGCGATGCCATTGCTGATTTCTGCGTTTGTGCTTCTTTTTGGGGGTTTGTTCTCAGAGGCTGTCTTTACTGTTCTCGGAGGGGGTGGTTGCCACTTAGTCTTAGCTGAACGCAATTCAGAAGGAAACAACCTGGAATCGAGGGCAGTCGTCGCAGTAAAGTAGCCGCTAGAGCTACAGCGCTGTCCCTCGCAGAGACCAACCTACCTAGTGATGCCAATCATTAGCGTGAAACACCCTAAAGCCCCGCCCTACAGCGCACGCTAATGTGGTCTTGCGACGGGCAGGCAGCCCCGTAAACCAAAGCTTTTCATCGGTAGCGCTAAACGCAGTGACCTCGAACCGGCCAGCAGTTACAGGGCCGGTCGCCGCTAGTGAAAACGTCCACACGTCAGTGGGAACCCGACCCATTTGCAGCTTCCCGTCGCTCCTTCTCAAGATCAGATGAAAAAGAATGTATCTGTTTTCCACCGTCGTTGTGTTCTCGCTAACTGTCAACCAACACTGTTACAGCAGCGCCAGCAACAATGCGAATGAAACGTACATATATGGCCCCAAACTTGCTTTGATTTGACTCGAAATGGGTGCATTTAAATTGACTGGGTACATCTCGAATTGTTCTATTTGATTGATTTGACCCATTTGCTTCGAGCCTCAATAACTTGAACCCGGAAATGCCACACCCTTGACCGCCCAGACGAAAATTCCTCACGGTACCATGACAATTCTGCAAATGCCACATATTCTTCCGCCATTGGATCAAACCATAGGAGCTCATTCATGGTCTCCGTAGTTAGGTTGTGTCTTTCTGTTCCAACGAGCAGTTTGGCCATACTGAATAGCCTCTCGCAGTAAATCTGACATGGCTGGGATCGATAGCATGGTGTTTTGGCATTTGATGATGCTGAATTGGATGCAAATAGCGGAGTTTTGCTGCCATCTCCTTAAGCGTGTAAAAGCCTATTTTTGCGATTTGACTAACTAAAAGTGGCGTTTACTAACAATAAAAGACGTCACTACTTGCTCCACTTCTTATACGCCCACTGAAGACCACTGGAACTTGTTGTGAGCGTAACTTTCTAATCACAGTTATATACCCCTTCTCTCCACATCTTCTGAAGAAGACCCCTGACTATCTCTCATAGGTATTTATGGGCCCGTGAAGAAATATGCCTTTTACACGCTTGAGGAGATGCCACCCCCTAGGAGAGATTTCACAGGTCACTTTTGCTGTATTTTGACGGTCATGCGATCCTTCTGACAGCTGCTGGACACCTAATCCACTCAAGCCAAAGTAGCTAAAGAAGCCAAAGAAGCGAAAGAATTTAAATCACCATATTGCCTTGAATTTGGCAGTCAAAATAGATATATCTGAATTGTTTCATTTTGCCTTGAACTGATTTGCGTTGGGCATTGTATTGTTGGGGTCGCTGTTGCTGTTTACACGCCCCATTTCTGCCAAGCCGACACTGGTTACACGCCCCCTTTTCTCACCATGCAACAACCCGACTTGTCGTCAAATCCCAAAACAACATGCACGCAAGTATAAACAACAAGCCCAAAGAATATTCTCAATTCTCAAATTGATGCCCGCTGTTACAGTGGACCCAAACCTCCAAAACCGCAGACAGCAAGCAGAGAGTGGAGAATCGCAACACTGGACCAGCACACAGCACACTCACTCAACCAGACCCACACCCATCAAGGCAGAACCCTCACCCAAGCATCAAGGCAGAACCCGGGCCGAGAGTCCACATCCACACAATGTCTTTCCACAGGACATCCATCCAGCCCGCATAGCTCAGGGGTAGAGCGTATCACTAGTACTCGTACTCGTACTCGATCTAGAATCAAATGATAAGGTCATCAGTTCAATTCTGATTGTGGGCAATGCGATTGATTACCTTTTGCCATTTTTGTCCTTGCGTAACAAACACTCATCATGAGGGGGTGTAGTTGATGTTGACCCGTGTTTTGCTTTCGCTGGGGGTCACCATCTAAGTTTATCACTTCTTTCGTCTCAACATTTTGCCACAACTCACTCATCTGATCACAAAACAGAGTTGTCAAAAGTTCCATAGCTCGCTCGTTCAGGGATATTCAATGTTTGGTTGGTTTGATGTAAATATTCGCATTTAGCGTGAGATATACAAAAATGTAACGACACTGCAGAGAATCAGGATATGCAAGCTTAGCAAAGTGCGCCAGCTGCCTTCAAGAAGTGCCCGCTATGGAATGTACCGAATCGCCCCTCATGCTGTGATGCTTCAAATATCCACCATGGCCACTTCATGCCCACCCGCTTGCTTGATTTAAGCCTCAAACTCGCGAGTCTTCTTGGACCCAGCGCCCTTGTACACTGGCGGGCCAGGAACGACATATGTCTGAGGGATCTTGCGGTCATTGATGGGGACCTTGATGTTGGAGTCGCTGTCCTTGCAGTAGCCGGGAATCGCCGCCTTGAACGACGCATCCGGATTTGCGGACCCGCTTCCACCGACGACGATCTGCGCGCACTCGGGGTAGAACTGTGGCGCATTCGCCTGGTGAAGCGCGATCAGCTCGTGGCGGATCAGGTAGTTGCCTGGTGCAAGACCCGCAGGGATCTTGGACGTCCACTTCTTGTCGCCCGTCACCAGCTTGGCGATGTCCCACCCGGAAGGAGTCTCAGTGTCGAGGAACACCTTGACGCCGTCGCCGTGGAAGCCACCCTCATCGATCTTGAACCAGCCTGACCCAGAACCGTCGCAGGAGGAGAAAGCGCCCGCGCACTTGTACATCCACACGAGCACGGGGCCCTGGCTGTGCGTCCACTGGCCCCAGACAGCGGTGACGGCGTCGCCTGGGTTGGCGGTGGCGCTCTCGGTGGCTGAGGTGCCGCCGTTGCAGCGGAGCTTGGGTGTGCTGCAAGTCGTGATGGGGTTGTAATCGGGCCATTGCCTTTGGATCACGTTCTTGGAGTTGGCGGGCGAGAAGCCTTGGTATCTGTGACGTTCTGTTAGCAACTGGTCTCTGATAGGCATGAGAAAGACAGCGATGCTTACCCAGGGTAAGTCTTGCCACCAATGATGTAGCTGGTGACGGCGCCATGGGCAGCAGCCCCTGCCGCAAAGACGAGTGTGCTGAAGAGTGTGGAGGAAACCATAGTGACCGTGTGAATTGTGTGACTGCCAAGAAGCGATCTGGGTAAGGAAGAATCGAAAGGAGAAGGGGGCTTGTAGAATGAAGGACACCTTCTTAAAGCCCACCAGATGAAGGGCTATATCGCGCCTCTTATATAACCCGCCCCAATACCCCATGCCTTTTTTGCTCAGCGCTACACAAGCCGAGATTCCCCCAGTTTTCCCCAGGTTTCCCACCCCAGGCCCATGGGTTCATTTACCGGCTAATATGCTGCTGCCGGAGCGTCGAGCGCCTTTTGCACCCGCACATGATGAATTTGCTGGCCTGGCACTGGTGGAAGACATATCTCGGCAAGCAAGGCAGCCTTTCATATAAAGTGCTCCGCAATATCGGAAAGAAGCGCCGACGATTCCATTTGATATTGCCTCCTTCCAACCAGCACGCTGTCCACCACCCCCATGACGTATAACCGCAACCCGGCTGCTAAACGGACCATCATATGCCGGCCATATCGCGCGGCCTGTGAATTGGAGCGGGTGCATCCCATGAAGAACGTCCATCTACCGCAATGTAAACACGCGATGCCTTCAGGATCCGAGCCGCACTGCGCGCATTTTTGGTCCGCACGCCATGGACAAACCCTGTGCGACACAATGTATTCAGTGGGGGCGTGCTTGGCGGTGGCTTACAGATTACCAGGTTTCGTTGGGCTTCCATGCCGGCGATGGCTTGGAAATGCTACACTCCTCGCCGGCTCCTGAGGCCGACCAACATATTAGCGCCGAGGGCTGGGAGGAAAGGACGGCCCAACCTGGAATCGATGCCTTCCGAGGCCCAGATGGCGCTAGTCGATGGGAACAAGGAACTCGATGGTGATCCCTGGTGTCACGTATTGACTTGCAGACCAACCCAAGATACATTCCAAGTGCTGTCAGGGTGTGCTGCGTATCTTGGGTGAATCGCCGTCAAATCGCCGCGAAGGTAGCTGCCTCCCGGCCCGAATGCTCTTGGCATGAGACTCAAGTGAAGCAACAATTGCCAGCGTGGCAGGCGTAGGGATGTCGGCAGGATGATGTTGCAAAGTGGCGCGAGCGGGAATGCACGCGGGCATGATAACAGCCAGTCAGGTGACGTGGAAAGTCCATTTCCCCAGTAGGGACTGTAGTGGCGTGGACCCCTTTTCTCGCCTTTGGAAAGTCACGAGATCAAGTCTCGAGCCAACCGCGCCACAATGTCCAATCTGTTTTGGTCCGACTTGGTGGCGTCCTTGAGCGCCTTGCCTGTCTTATCAAACTTGTCGCCAACATCGACGTAGCACCCGCCCTGGGCAAACCGATCCAGAACCTTCTTCATGTTTGCAAACTGTTTGATATCGCGTACCTGTTCAGGGCCGATGCCGTTTGGATCTGCCTGGCGGTTCGGTCTGGCAGCCTGGGCGCGATGGCTAACGGTGGTGCCGACACGAACACAGTGGATGATCAACGCGGCAAGGCCAGCGGCTAGCGCAGTGGCTACGGGCGACGGCTCTGTACGCAGACTGTCCTCATTGACTTGGATGATTTGGTCGTCGCGGTCGGGCACTTCGTGGCCGGGGAGGATGTAGTCCAGCTGGTTCTCACGGCCGGCACGAGGGGTTGCGATGTTGTTGATCGTCGGCGCCCCGATCTTCAACATGCTCTTGGAGAGTTCGGCAAACCACGAAGACCTAAAACTTACCGGCGTGAGTGATCCTTCGTCCGGTGATGCGCAGAAGAGGAGGGCCCCGTTCTTGACGGCTTCTTTCAGGGCCCTCCTCAGGTCTTCGATGTCGTCGCTGTTCCCCCCTTCACTGGTGCTGCGGCTTTGGATCGTCCAGGACATTGATACAATGTCAAACCTGCAGTTACTAGCGTACGTGACGGCCTTCTTTCTCTCAGTCGCCAAGACTAATAGTAAGTCGGGGGTGCCAACTGGCACGTACCTGGGCTGCGCTATTCGCGGTAAAGTGCGCCTTTGATCCCTCGGCAGCGTCAACATTGAGACGATGGACAAAGATTCTGGCGCTCGGCCACAAGCGGCATATGAGCCTGGCCACGAGGGTCCCACGACCGGTGGCAGATTCGCGGAAGGGCCGCCCGGCGCCCGGTAGGTTCTGTAAAGCAGTCATTACCTGCCTAGAAAAATCAACATTCTTAGGTGCGGTTAGCTCAGTTGTCTTCAGTTCAGCCCGCTGTCGCCCCAGTCAAAGCTCCTGCCGTTCATGATGCTCTCTCGTAGGCTTTCCTGGCCAAAGTCAACCTCGTCATCAACCAAGGCTACCCTGACGCCACTTCGTAGATGTAGGGCAAATTGTCAGCATCCTTGCCAATGTTGTTCTTGATCTTGAAGATGCCATCGGCAAAGGTGTCCATGACCTGGAGCCACTGGTATGACCGTCGCTAAACGCGGGTGTTGCCATCCCGAATATTGTGCCCGCTGCCTGACTTTGCCGAAGTCCTGAAGTCTTGCCGAGCTCGGTTATCACGATATCAGGAAATCCAGCTTCACCTTCCCTCTTCCGTTTCTTGTTGAGGTGGATTCTGTTTTGCTTGATTCTTTGCTTGAACTGTTCGATGTTTTGGGCTGTCTTCTCTTCTGATTCGAGATTCTGGGCCCGTGGGGAAAAGGGTTAGCAAATATATCCCTGATGGACAAGATATGTTGGCCATACTTCAAACTCGCCCAAGACGATAGCCTCCAAATACGGTGCCTTCACCAATCCATCAGGCTTGCTCCATGCCCGAAGGATTCCATTATTGCCACTCCACGAGAGGTAGACCTCGCGCACATAGCGGCAACCAAGCTGGAACACGCTGGGACAGAGATCAATCTTGCGCCAATCGACAATTTTGATCACAAAGTGCCGCAGCACATCCACGATGGCTTCATCGCTATGGGACAGAGCCTCGATGTCGTTCACGGCGACCTTGATGATATTGCGCATCTTTTCTTTGAGCCAAAGAAACGGAACCTTCATATCTTCACGCCCTTTCGCGACGTCTTCTTTGGGTGCAGGGTGTCGCGGTAACACGACGGATTTGAACCGCATTCGACGAAACGCGACGTGTTGGACAAAAGGCTGTGTTGGCCAATTTCGACGATGCTTTGGACTAGCCACCATATGTCTTGTCCGGATTGTTTGCAAGCAGGAGAAGAAGGTTGTTGTTTTTATTCGGTGGGTCGGCGAGCTCAAGAAACCTTCGTCTGCCCTCCTCGTTTCAAGGCCGAGATTTTCCTCCATAACTTTGGCTATCAGTCTCTTCACAGCTTCCTGGAAGGACTTGTCCGAGGCATCAACTGGTTCCTCGTCCTGACCGTCGTCCATGTAAGCATCCGAATCCACGTTGCCAACCAAATGGCCAAAGCCGTCCGGATTACTAGCTACGGATTCGACCCATCACACGGACTTACGAGTGTCCTACACAGAACCTAGGACGAGGCGACGAAGCTGCTTGGTGCTCTCATAAAGCTTGAAATGAATAATCCAGAAGTGCGAACACCCCTCCTGATTGCTCCGGGGTGGAATGCTGGTATTGAGTCTGTGAACCACCTTATCGTGTCCTGCTAGTGTGCTTCCTTGGAAATGATCCGCATCCTGTACGAAAGCGGCAACAAAGTCAACGCCACCTGCACGGGGTTCCGTGGCGCGCCTCTCGAAGCGGCTTTTCCACGCAAAGTCACCGAGGAAGACGACATGGGCGCTACTGCGAACCAAAACGCCATCATCGAGTACTTTGTCAAGACGGCCA